AAACTTAATAATAATTTTTTCAAAATATTACTATAAAAGTATATATACAAGATTTATCAAAATAGTAAATCTACTATGAATTAGATTCAGAGCTATAATATAGTTAAAAATTTTAATAAAATAAAACAGATCTAGATATATTATAAGAAATAATGATTAAAAGACCCAAATATAATATTAGAATATAATAGGTATATATTATATAAATTTAATAAGTTAGAGTATAGTGACTTAGTGAAGTAGTTAAGTTGTCATACTCCCAAGTGATATATTAGCTAGATAGGGGGTTTGAAATCTACTGTTAACAAATTTTAAATATTCTATCTGTATAATAGCTACTGTTTTTTGTTGATTAGTAGAACAGAATCTCTGTAACTTTAGTTGCATCAACAGGATTAGGAAATTATGAGATATTTGTATAATATATAAGTTAACAAATAAGCTTTCAGTTATATATATGAATTCAAGAAACCAAAAAGATAAATGCCCACTTGGCAAGACCTGAGTAGAGAGGTAGCACAGATTTTTGATAGTACTATATAAAGAACTATTATTGTAAGAACTGGAAAACTGAACAGAACCAAGATGTATAGCAAAATATTCTACCAACCAGGCTGCCAGAGCTAGAGAAAAAGGATATGCATAATTTGCAGTTACTAGAGAACTGGTAACTTTCAAGTAAAAGTCTCTCTCAGGCCATCTGAACTGGTAGTTTGAAATATTTGCATCAAACCAAGAAAACTAAACAGAACTAGTATTTGAGGAAGTACTTCACCAACCAGGCTGCCAGAACTAGTAAAAAGGATTTGCTTAATTTGCAGTTACTAGGAGACTAGTAACTTTTAGATGAAAGTTCCTCTTAGGTTATTTGAATTAGTAGTTTAAAACTTAGTAGGTATTAATAATAGTCTGTAAAATATATACTAGTATTTGGGTGAACTTTATAAGGTCAGAAATAGGTAATAGGTTTAGCCTTCAAGTACTTGTTTTCAAACTCAGCGTAAGTTACTGAAGACTAGACTAGCCAAAGTGTAAATACAGAAAGCTCTAGCAGGTTTATCTTGAGGATAAAGAGATCTCTAAAATGGTTTAAACCTGCTTTAAAATTCTAAGCCAGGTGTCTAAAAATAAGAAATCCAAACTAGATTCTTGTTTAATTATAAAAGTTAATCTTATAAATACAGAGGGTTTAAATAGATAACCTTCTAGTTATGTTATAGATATGGCATCTAGTGTAAAAAGCAAACTACTTAAATAAGCAATCAAAAGTTATATATGTTGCTAGTATATATTCTTCAAATATGTATACTGTATAGGCCTCTAATGGGAGCTTAGCATATAGTAAAGTTTACTAATAAATGAATAAAAGAAGATAGCCAAGAAGTCATCTTAACATTGAAAAAATAATAAATTTAATAAATTTTTGATTTTCATATAAAAGCCTTTCTAATTATTAGACTAATATCTATATAGGTATCATTTATTAAAACAGCCCATTTTTACAATTTTTTGAAAAATGAGTTTTTATTAGATTCATATAAATCTTGACATAGTTAACATTTTTCAATTATAAATGAAAACCGATTTGTATAATAAAAAATCAAGAAAATGTAAAAGAAAAATTACATGAGGCTTCATAGAGCCAATATATTACGAGATTATCTGATAGTCACATGCTACCTTTGATCAATCAAAATCGTGAAATTTGATAATCCCGGATCAGTCCGAAAATCAAAACAAATAATTAAACTCAATTATCTCAAAATTGTTCAAATGTAAAAATGGGCTGTTTTAATAGATGACACCCCATATAATATACTCTAGATTTATTAAAAATTTAAAATTAGTAGAAAATATCAAACCCAGGTCTTGTATATGCACTTTTATATAGTACTTTGAATAATAGTATAGTTAAAACTAAATATCTATTTTTGTTATATATTTAGCAATTATATATATAAATCATATAAAAATTTGATTTATTACAATTTATATATGCAATTAAATTGTTATACTTTATAACAATTTTATATATATTATATTATATATATAGTTTTAATTTACTTAGTTGATATATAACTCAAGATAATATAAACAAGTTATTAAAGTATAGTATACTAAGAATACTGTTTAAACTATATTAGATATTATTCTATATTCATTCTACAAAATAAATAATAAAAAATAAATATTAAAGATAGTTAATAAGAAAATTAATAAAAAATATATAATAAAATATTTAGAATTATGTATTATAGAAAAATAAACAAATTTGTTTAATAAAATATCTTATTGTAGAGAGTTTTAGCTTGTAATTCTATTATATAAGGCTATATAAAGTTAATTTTGTTTTGTATTATCTGTTAACTTAAATTTTTTAATATTTAAATTTTTTATAATATTTTTATTTATTTATCTGTTTATTAGACATATTATCTGCTAATATAGTATTATACAAATATATATATCTATTTATACCAAATATATACAGAATACTAATAATATTTAATAGTTTTTATAAATCTAGTTCAAAAATTGATATTCAATAGTAATAGAAAAATAAGAATTATTTATATTTAATTCAAAAAGAATAAAATTAGAATAATATACAATTTACAAATACAAAATATAACTTAAATATCTTTAATCATTTTAAGAAGCCTTAGAATTAAAACTACTAGCTATATAAAAGTTTATAAATTAGATATAAATATTAATTTAGAATAAAAAAATAAAAAATAAACAATATTGTTAAATCAAACTACTGGCATTCAATGCTACTATAAGTACTACTATAAGTTGCAGTATAATATAAAGATTTGTATAGTATAAAGTTTTTGTTTATTTTTTAAGAGAATTGCTATTTGCACCATGATTTTTGCTATTTGTACTATTAATTTGACTAAAATTATACTCTAATTCTAACTAATTCTGGTCAAACTAATAGTGCAAATAGCAAAAATCATAGTGTAAATAGCAGTATCCTTTTTTTAAAAATAGCTATAATTTAAAATTTCATCTATGAAACTATCTTTGGGACTCTAATAAAAAATTTTTGCAAATTTTGATATAAGCTATACTTTTGCTCTATTTCAGACCTCAACTTTAATTCTAATATATAATTGTTACAGATTAAAATAAAATCAGATTAAAATAAAATTGAGAACCACTTTTGCTTACTCTTAAAGTTTATAAAACTTACATATACTCTTTTTTTAATAACTTTAACTCTAAACTCTACTCCTAATACTAAAAAGAACCCCAAAAATATCCTCCAAAAAATTTTAAATTTTTCTTAAAAAATAAAAAAATTTTGTTTTAATCTGATTTCATTTTAATCTGTCATATTAATTAATATTTAATTTTTGTTTTGATAAAAATTGTTTTGATCTATATTATCAGAAAATTTTTTAGAATATATATCAATTGTAATCCTCTAGATTATAATTGATATACATTACCCTGCCAAGTATAAACATTAGTAATAAATAATACTATATTGCAAAAATTTATTAAATTTTATCAAACTTTGATATAGATTTTCTTAATAACTATTATTAAAATTTTTACTATAGATAGTATTAGTTTTCTCCTATAATATATAAAAATTTTGTTAAATATAATCACTAGTTTATAAGTAATCAATTGTATATAATAGTTAATTTTTTTAAAAAAATTAACTATTATATACAAATAATTTTTGTGAACTAGTAATTATAATTGGCTAAAATTTTTATATATTATAGAAGAATACCAATACTATCTATAGTTAAAATTTTAATTATTTCAATTGATAGTTATTAAGAAAATCTATGCCAAAGTTTAAAAAAATTTAACAAATTTTATAATAATCAATATATATCGTTAAAAATATATATCAATATATAACTATAATTGATATATATTATTAGTGATATATATCAATATATAACTAATAATCAATATATATTATATAAAAAATTGATTACAATCATCTTTGCTACTAGCAATCGATACTAATTTTCAAAAAAAATTCTGATAATATTTTACAAATTTTTATATTACTGATATTAAATACTATAGATGCAATATATAATTTTTAAAAATAAAAATCTAAAAATAAACTCAAATTTTAAATTTTATATAATACAAAATAAAAAATTTAATTTATTTAGCATATTCTCCTTTAAACTAGAAATAATTAAAGCGCAAATATACAATATATAATAAATTTAAAAGTTAAATTTTTGTAATTATAGAGATAAAAAAGCTTACAGTTGTAAAAAATTATTTGTAATTCTATATATAATTATTTAATATAAGAATTCTGGCTTTTGGTTATAAAATTAAAGTTATTTTAAGATAAGTTTTTAAACTTCTTATTATTTTGTTACTTATTATCAGATATATTTAAATAGAATAACTCTTAATAGTAATTATTTTAGATTTTTGATATAAGATTTATATTAGCTATTAAAAATAACAAAAATTATATAAATAATAAACTTTAATAACATAGAAACTATAGATATATTGCTAATAGGCTTTGATATATATAACTAGTAATATAGATATAAAAAATTATATTATAAAATATTTTATAGTATATAATAATATCTATAATATATAAATAATGCAGTTGATATATTATATCTATATACTATAATATTGTTATTGTAACAAAGTGCAAGTCAGCATGTACTAGAAATCCTTGGCTAGAAGATAAACTTGGAATGTTCATATAATGTTGGATGTACAACCCTCGAAAGTAGGTATATAATTTGGCAGAGATAACTGTATCTTTTATTAGAGTATATATGAGATATCTTTTACATACAAATTACTTTTGTGCTATATATACTATTTACTTATCTACTCTATATGCTATAAATGCTTAATATGCTATTTCTAATGATTATGCTATTTCTACTAAATCTGCCTATTATGCTAAATATACCGTATTTGCTAATTATGCTAGTTATGCAATACCAATAATTATGCAATTGATCTTCTCTTTTCGTCTAATGTATCATCGATTGATTTTCAGTTGTTACATTTTTCTCTATTTAATTTGTTCATTTCATGAACATTTCAAACCTCTGGGATCAAATATGTGGGAACTAATACTATATGTTAATTGATTCCGAGATATCTGGGCTTCATCATTTCCGATCCTAATTCTATTTTTATAATCAGGTTCAATGTGCTTCATTTCCGCAGATTTTTAGTAACAAAAGAATACCTTATGTTTATCTTTTTCAACACCAATTTCATTCCGTTGGTAACATCCAGGTTTGATTTATTAGTTATAATATACAAATACTTTATGCTTGTCATTTTCAATCCCAATCCTTGGCAGTTCTTCATTGTTATCGTCATTTGCTTCATCATATTTGTTATTATCATCCTTGTCTTTACTGGCATTTGGTTTAATGCTACTGTCCGTATCATCATCATTGGCTTTATTACTGCTGGTATCTTCTTCGGCATCACCATCATACTTAAGATCTCTGGTATCATCCAGGTAAGTTTTGCATTCAACTTTTTCTACTATATTTGTGTTTCCATTACCATAATCGGCTAATTTTTGATAATAGATGAATTCTTTATGTTTATATTTTTCAGCTCCAATCTCTTCTTCATAACAAGGTCTAAGGTTGTACTTTCCATCTTTAGCAATGTTCAAATGGCATCCAAACACCTTATTTTTATCTTTCTTGGCTTCGATTCTAGTTTGGTCATGTTGTATATTTGAATTATCACCTTCAGCCATTTTTACTTCCTGTTCAAAGAGCATATTTTTTTTTCTTTTAATTTTGATTTCTCTTCTTTTTTTTCATCATTTTTAACTTTAATTCCTTCTTCATAGCAATCTCCAACTTGATACTCTCCATCCAGGTTTTCTATATTGTCATAATTTATCCTTTTTTTGAGGTAAGACTTTCTTGTTTTCTTGTCATCACTACTTTGTTGGCTTTTGCTTTTTTTCCATTTATAGCTGGTTAACCAGTAAGGATTTTCTTTTTTAACTGCATCTACTATTTCTTTATACAATCTTGCAAGGGTTCTAAATTCTTGGAACACTTTTTCATTCATATCACCGTTTTCCATCTTGATACTTGCTTCTTCTACATATCTTCGTACGTATGTGGTAAGACCTTGAAATTGCTCTCTGTTGATTTCCATTTTTTTTTTTTTTTTTTGATTGTTACTTTCTTTTGGGTGCCAGGACACCAGGAACCTGGTCTGGATTGGGTCTGGATTTCTTTGGTAAGGTTCTCTTCTTTTCTTTTTTTTTTGACTTCTCTCCTTCTTTTTTTTTGAATCTCTTATATGCTCTCAATATTGGGGTGCTAGATTTCTTCTTTTTTCAGACAGAGTTTTTGGTCTTTGTTCAGAGAAGTAATTCAATTTCTTTTTTTCTTTGTCTTTGTTTTGCTTATTTATCTTTACTAACTCTTTATCTTTATTTTTGGGTAAGTACATTTACGACAGGTTATTTACTTCTTGGATTTGCCAGTACATTAGCTTGGACTTTAACAGCTCTTTAGATACAGTACGTCAATCTAGGTGGCTCAACCTTTCTTGCCGGTACGTTGGCTTTTCTTTTGTGGCTAGTTTTATTTCTTCTTTATCTATTATTTATCTATTATTGTATTACTTCTAATCGGCGAGTACTGAATGATCTCACAGTCACCACCAAATATAACGAAGTACAAGTCGACATGTACTAGAAATCCTTGGCTAGAAGATATACTTGGAATATTCATATAATATTGGATGTACAACCCTTGAAAGTAGGCGTATGATTTGGTAGAGATAACTGTATACTTTATTAGAGTATATGTGAGATATCTTTTACATACAAATTACTTTTGTGCTATATATACTATTTATTTATTTACTCTATATGCTATAAATGCTTAATATACTATTTTTAATGATTATGCTATTTCTACTAAATCTGCCTATTATGCTAAATATGCAGTATCTGCTAATTATACTAGTTATGCAATGCCGATAATTATGCAATTGATCTTCTCTTTTCGTCTAATGCATTGTCGATCAATTCCCAGTTGTTACATTATATATCAGCAAATTTATATATACAAAATCTTTTGCAATATGCAATAATAATGAAAATATTTAAAAAATATTTTAAAATATTTTAAAAAAGTTAAAAATTAATATATTTCAATATATTTTGAAATATTCAATTTTTATTTTTAAGATTTTTAAAAAAAACTTTTTTGTTTTTTAATATTAAAATAATCTCTTAGTTATCTCTTTTTATATAATTATAGATTTAACTTTTACAGTATACTAAAGTATATACTACTTATACTATATACATCAATAATATTAATTTTGGTTTTTAGTAGGAATTTTTAGTTAGTGTTTTTATGAACTGAATTGAACTAAACTTTTGGCCAAGTTCAAGTTTAGTTTAAAATTAAACTAAATTTAAGCTTGAATATTTTTTAAAAAAGTTTAGTTTAGATTCAATATTGAACTTTTAAATCAAGTTCAGATTCAGTTTAGATTCAGTTCAAAAGTTTATGAATATCTTAAAATTCAATAAATTATATATATATATATTATATATTGTCAAAAATTATTCACTTCTAATAATAAGCTATTTTTTTTAGAAGAAAAATATAAAAACTTTTTAGATCTAAAAAATAGGCTACTTATCTAATTATCAGTAGTTACTTTATAGTAAAGTCAAAATTTATTAAATAAATTGATATATTTTATTAAATAAAAGTTGGTCAAAAGATCAAAATATAACATAATATTACCTTATATACATATTATATTGTATATTATAAAAATAAATTCATAAATATAATTTTATAAATTATTGTAGAATATATTTTATAAATTATTTTATCAAGTATAAATTAGATTTATTTCTTTAATTAATTTTTGACATCAATAAATATAAAATTTTTAGAAAATTTATAGTTATTAGTCAAATTTGCTTTTATAACTTGTAACTTTTTATATTTTCAAATAGCAGAACAATAAAAACAAAATATTTTATAATATCTTTACTAAAATTTTTATAAAAAATAATAAAATTTTAACAAAGCTAAACTTATAAAATTTTTTAATTAGATATATTAAAACAGTAATATTATCTGAGTTTTTACTTTGTTGAGAAAAATATAATAAAAATACTAAATCTTATTATATTAATTTATAACTTATTAACTGCATCCTATATATCTTTCTTATATAATAGCATATAGATTAAATATAAAATTTTTATATTTCTTATCTATATATTCTGACTGTTATATTTTAATTTTTTTTAAATTTTTTTAATTTTAAAATCTTGCTTAAAAATTATTATTTGATGCATTATATCACAATTGCAGATAAATTAAATCTGGTAAGTATAATCAACTATATTAGTAAGAGAGATTCTTTTGAATTTTGGTTAGTTTTTTGTTAGTTGTTATCTTTTTTCTTCATTTGTATTTTATTTTTTTTAATCCATAAATTGTTATATTATATTTAGTTAAAATCTTTTAAATAAAAAACAATATATTATACTAGCTCTGTGTTATTTATGTAATTTGCATTATGCAACTATTGTATATATAAGACCAATATTACTGCACTATTTTTGATATTTTTTATTTGAGAGATTTGCAAAAAAATATTGTTACAGTTGTAGATATAAGTTTAGAAATAAAAACTATTGAAGTTTAAAATCTAGATATTTAAATAATTTTTTTATTAGATTTTATATCTTGTTTTGGATTTTGAAATACTCTTTTTTGTAATACTTACCTTAATTTTTAGTTTTATATAAATTTTAACTTAATGAGATTTATAAAATATATATAGTTATCCTACTCTACAGTTATCTTTTATATAGTTACACCCTTTTTATAAGCATTATTTTTTGAAAAATTATTAACAATTTATTTATTAAAAAAATTTTATATAATCACAATACTATTAAAATTTTATAATCACACCTTTTATATGTAAAACAAACTACATAATTATAGAGGAGGGTGACTGTATATAGATTGATAAATAAAAAAGTTTAATAAATAAGTTATATATATAATATAATCTTTTGTGATTAGATAAAATATATTAAATAATTGTGTAATACAATAATAAAAAACTAAAGTAGATTATTTTTTATATCTTCAAAATATACTATATATTTTACAAAAGTAAATAATCTAAATGATATAGGCCTGACTATAAAACATCTATTTCACTTTAGACAATTATTTTTAAAATTGTAATTTTATACTTAATTTTATGTGGGATTTATAAAGTTTTGATATATGATCAAAATTATAATCATCCTTCTTTACAGTTACCTCCTATATAGTTACACCTTTTTATAAATACCATTTTTTAAAAAATTATTAGCAATTTATTTATTAAAAAAACTTTATATAATCACAATACTATTAAAATTTTATAATCACATCTTT